ATTCGAGTGCCAAATTTATTTTAGCAGGAAAATGATAGAATTTGTACGTTTGTTTACTGTGTTTACTTATTTCAGCCGAACACCTGCTTAGTTAAGACTGTTCCAATTGGTCTGAAAGTGATTGCCTCCTTTGTTGTGATTGGCCGAAAATTCTCTGTTTACAAAATAAGGAGGTCAATCCGATTTTGTAAAATTTTGCAAATTTTCTTACTTTTTGGATTGACCTACATCGACAAGTTTGTCACGCGAACGGGATAGAGATGTAGCAGGTGCCCGTTACACTCCAATGTATAGTATCTGTACAACTATTAGATGTTAAAATGTAATAAATTATAAAATGTTATTACAACACTTGGTTGTTTCAATCAATGGTCAAGTGTAAAATGATAAATTCCCAAAACATGGCTATAAGAAATACCTTTGTTACCCATAATGTGATGAAGTGACCTTTTTTGATAAATATATGGACCCTTCATACTTGAGTGTATGTGTTTAGCTTATGCTGCATATGGGGGACACATACACTTATATACTTTATACATAGGACAAACAAACACAGGGCAGGGGTGGTGGGGTATTTACAATATAGAGTCTTTTTAACATTATGGGTAACAGTAACCTTTTAATCCAATTTGTTTGACCATTTGATTTACATTAATAAAACAATGTCTGGCATTTAGACCCAGTTAATATATTTTGATTAAAATACACTGTCAAATGATACTACCGTTCCACGGCCACTTCCTAGGACCACATGTAAAATTAATAAATATTAACTCTATGTAATATACATGTTTACAGTTAAAAGTATACGTCTACATGCCTAGACTATAATAAATTCATTTGGAAGGGATGAAAAAGTTAATGTAAAGAAGTGCAACAGAAATGCAACACCACCGGCGAACGAATCAGAAATCGAAATATAATTGTGTGTATATACTTTTTTTTAATGCGTTTATTTAAGGTCGCCGCCGGAAAGCCCATATGGGCGACCGTACACTCAAGTCGGGCCATCCTAGAGCGTCCCGCCGAGATTTGTTCGTCAATTTTTTTCCAGCTTTTTGTATAGGATATCGACCGAGTACGAGGTCTTTCTGGTTAGGAAAGACATGGTCACGAATTTCATGTACACCGAGAGCGCGTAGCGCTCGAGGTGTTTCATGAAATTCGTGACCAGGTCTTTCCTAAACAGAAAGATCGATGTACGAGGCCGATATCCAACTTACACACCGTAAAACTATATTGGCTTGAGCAATGGCTGATCCGAAACATTTGATGTAATGCACAAAGATTATTTTTTAACACAGCGCATAAGTAGGTAAGCTTTTATCAACGTTCTGCTTAAATAAAGTATTTATTTTACATTAAACTTGGTTTTTCCCTTTAAAATAATAATAAAAAGGCTAAATGTGTATAATTATGTTGATAGTATTTCGTATCAGACATTTCAAAATTTCAAATTTTAGGATATTTGCCTTACCCCCCCCCCCCCCCCCCGAACAGTTTTACCCCCTTTTTGTTCGCTGTGGCGACTTGTAACTTGTCAAAAGTTTATCTCGTGCACAGGGACCCAGCACAGTGTTTGGATATTGTAAAAACGTAATTCTAGAAAAAATAATATACTTATATATAATATATAGACGTATACTTATATATAATATATAGACGTCTATATATTATATATAAGTATACGTCTATATATTATATATAAGTATATTTTTTTTCTAGAATTACGTTTTACACTATTCCAACACTGTGCTGGGTCCCTGTGATCTCGTGTATATATTTCATGTATTTTATTTATGGATGCTAATTTCTTTTCACAAATTTGTGCGAGAGTTTTTGTTTATTGAAACACAATGAAATTTCGGCAATAGGCGATGAATTTTAATTTTTATAACAAACAATTCAACAATCAAATTTTTTAACATTTTTAAAACATGGGGGTGGGGGTGGCAAATGTCCATGGAGCCCTACCAAAGATATGAGGGGGCTAATGTCCGCCATTGCAAAAACTGCGCAAACTCCGAGGGGGCAACAGTCAGAGGGGCAAATGTCCGGATACCTAGCAGACCACGAAATACTTACATATGTATATTGTTGCATGACAAGTGTAAGATACATGATCCGAAATTATATTTTATATAGCAGATTATAAAGTGTTCTAATATAAAATTATCGCTCATCATATAATTTTTTTTACAAAAACACTAACACTTATAACTTTATATTAAAATTTCTTTTTCAAGATTTCTTTTAATAATATCCTTATCGTTTTTGTCGGTATTTTAAAAACTAATGGGAGATGTGTCCATTGTAAACTAATCCACTTTGAGTACTTGTCTCTGCATGTCACTATAAGCAAGGTTTGGATTATATCTTTAACGTTCTTTGAACCTGAGCCCTGGATTCGAGGGTTTTCAGGGGAAATCAGTTTTGATTGTTCGCGGGTTGAAATGAAAGGCAGTAGAAAGCCCAACTAAAAAAAAAAGGGGGGGGGGGGGTAACGGGGATTAACAATCTGATTGATCCCGAGGGTTGGAATGTTTCCTAGGTTTCCTGCGGTTTCCTAGGCAAAATGTTTATCAAATGGACGTTATTTGAATCACAAATGAAACGGACATATTTTTGTTATATTTTTTCGATATGAATGTTTGGTACAATTTCTATGTACTATGAATTTATTATGGATTAGGTGATTGAGAATCTTGATAAGTATGCGGTGATAACTGTTATAGTTTCATAGAAATGAACTTAAAGCATCCATTTTTGTTATATTGTGAACTTAATGACAGAAGAAAAATGTTAAATGTGTCCTAACTTTGATATGCTATCCATTTATTTTATTCAAGGATTTAATATAGGGATGTTGGAATAATTGCTAAGTGCATGAAATAAAAGTAATCTTGTTTAAAAGAAAGTATCCAGATTTTGTAATACAGGAATATTATGACAATCATTTATTTACATTTTATTTTCATTTTCAATTATTGATTGCATTTCATGTTTTCTTTGTCTACGCATAGGCAGGTCTATTTTTTCACGTGTTTTTCATGACCGGGTCTGTCTGACTAGAACAGACCTGTGAACGTGCAAACGATAGACCTCATAACGGACTTTCTTTTGTATCAACAGGTCTATCCGAAAAATATAGACCTGTCACAAACAATAGAGGAGGTGTGTAATGGTGGAGGAAGACCCCAGGTGCCCCTTCGGGCATTATTTCAGGCACGAGCGGGCACCTGGGTAGAACCACTGACCTTCCGTAAGCCAGCTGGATAGCTTCTTCACATGAAAGATTTCGACCCGAGTGAGGATTGAACCTACAGCGGTGAGGGACCTGTGATCTCAAGTCAGCGACCTTAACCACTCGGCCAAGGAGGCCCGCTATACCTCTCTTAAAGAAATAATATATGTATATTATTATGCAAATAAAACAAGTTTCAAACATCGAAGAATATGTAAAATATGTACTGCAAATATTTGTGCACATTATAAGTAATCAATCAATAAATTATATGCATTCATCTTTTTTTGGAAAATTTGACTTAGAATTTATAGAAAATAAATTTCTAATTACCTCCCTTTATTTACATAAAATGGTAAATTCGGTAATATCTTTACAAACGATGCTTATTGGAACTTACAATATTGACAAATCTTACTTTGAGCATCATATGTATGAAAAAAAACCATAAAAAATTGTGTTACAGGATCTTTAATTGAGGATTCACCATGAACGCTGTATTAAGAACATTACTATCAAATGATGTTTTATATGTTCTGTTCACTGACCATTTTATCAATATGCAGTCGACATGCTAATAAAACTAGGACATACTACATTTTACTCAAAGTTTTACTATCTAATGTTATTGATCAGACTATTATTCCTTTCCTCTTGTAGAAAGTGGGTCATTCTGAAGAACATCTTTATTCTCTGTTTGATATACAAAATCCGTATTAACAAGAAAAAAAATCCTATTTTTGGTAATATCTGACCTTGTAAAAAATCCGTATTTAAGTAAAATACGAACATACAAAGTTCCCGTATATTACGAGTGTCCGGATCATCGGTATATTAGTCATATACGTATTGCATGATATACGGTCCTGTACATCTACGTATTTCAAATTTCACTTATTTTTACTTGTCTATCTATGATATACCGATTATCGTACCCTTTATTGTATCCGTGGTCATAATGGCTTAAAATGCCGTTTATAGCGCGATTTTGACACAGGGCGATCTTTTTTATGACAAACAAAATAACAAACCCCCGTGATAGTGTGACTTTTATCTAAAGGGGTGGGGGAAATAAAATCACGTGTACGGAAAAAATTGAGTCGGTGACCCCCTATGTCGTTTTGACTAAGTATACATTTTAAAGGACGTTTAAAGAAAAAAAATCAAAAATTTATTTCAGAATTTTTTTTTAATAAATCGCTTTAAATACGAAAAATACGGCTAAACTGAACATCAAATTTTACACAAAAATTGTGATACCCTTAACAGTTGTCAAGGATACGCAACGACGTCATGATAAAAAAACGGACTTTGATTGTCAACTTTCACGTCGTGTGTACAAAAATTGGCTGAAACTATTGGAATAAAAGGGAATCTCATCAGAAATATGGTCAACTTTTTGAATGCCAATTTTCAAAACGCTGCTTGAAGGTTTGCAAAGTGTCGCGTTCTACCTTAACGTCGCGCACGAAATTGATTGAAATTGAACTTCGAACTTTGGTCTATATAAAGACTATTGATAAGAAAGAATGCGCTGCATAGCCGATGCGTCGAGATAAGAGTTGCATTGTAAGACCAATGCCATATATATGTGTAGTTCAAAATAAATTCATTTGGAAGAGATGAAATCGAAAATTTAAGAAAATTCTTTAAGTAGTATCTATTAGGACAAAAACTTGATTGCGAATGCATTTTGTTAAGAGTAGTTAAATTCGACACAAAGAACTGTTATCTTTTTTGACAAAGATTTAAATTTTCATTCATTGCAAATAATCCTTTAATGATTAACTCATACAAGAGCAACACATCAGCTGTTTGATACGTTTAATTTATATTTCCTGTAAAAACAGTGTCTGTAATAGTTGTAACCACCAGTCTGTAGGAAAAGTTTCCAATAGGCAGTGGTGTTGTAGAAACCCATTTGCAAGTAATTGTCCACCTCATTCCCCTACAGTAATGTTGAAAATCTAGGGCTACTGGTTGAAGGGAAGAGTCCTTGAATTAAAAAAGAAACAGTTGCTTTAACTTGCCATTTCATATTAAGATTAACCTAAGTCTTGTAGCAACAGCGGTGATATCAACAGCGCCTGCAGCTGTTACATCAACTCTGTAAACGCAATGCCATGTGCCTATTTATAATTCTCCATAGTCACGGGGGAGGAACTGTTACACGAAGGATGGAGTTTTTATGATAACTTGTTTGGGGTTCTTATGATACAGTAACTGTCACGGAGTTCCTGGAAAACGTTACGGATTTCTGTAAAAAACTTTTCTATATACTTGGTGAACTAACGTGAAAAATGGTAATTTTACCTTTAAATGGGGTGTTTGAGGTGCTAAATTAAATTTTGATAATAAAGCTTGCCCTACATATTGTATTATGTTTCAGAAAAACCTTTTATTCCAGTGATCATCGCCATTTTTTGTTTTAAAAATCAAAAAGTTTTGAGTAAACTTTCCAAATTACTTGCTCATTCGTGCATATTTACCTTTTCATTTGTGATCTTCTTCGTTGCTATACTTAATTACCTAATTATAATGGAGAGTTGCATACATAAAGCCTGTGCAAATAAATTTATACCCGATTTTTAATCGTGTTAGTGGAGGAAGCTGAAGGACGACCCTCCCTATATTATTTCATCCACAAGCGGGTACCTGAGTCGAACCACTGACCTTCTGTAAATTAGGATGCTCTTCACGAAGTGTTTAAAGATTATTGTTAGATCTTACTTTGGGGTAACATGGGATATGTCTATCTTAAGGTATAATTTAAAAGTTTCATACCGTCAAGGTTAAGTTTATCTTTGGGAAAGGATGGACGTTTGCCAATAAAATTTCTAGATGCTGATCCTCTGCACGGCTGACCAAGACACTGTCTGGTTTGCCTAAAATGCAAAAATACATTTAAGTTTTTCCATAAACGGCTTTTGCAAATTTATTTTTCTTCTTCTTTTTGCATTATTATAAATTTGTTGTAATATACACATAGAGACGTTTAACAGGTTAAATGGTCGTGCATTAAATACTTGACTAATACTGCAATAATTTTTATGTCCCCGTAGGGTGGCACATTAAAATCGCACCGTCCGCCTGTCTGTATGTTCGCCTGTATGTGCGTCCCCAATTCATTCATGTTCGGTCTGTAACTTTGTTATACATTGAGAGATTTTGAAATAGCTTTGCACAAATGTCTACACGATGTGTCCCGACCAATAACCACGTCACTACCTCAAAGGTCAAGGTCACACTAACAAATTGAAGTTTCACATTGTCACAGTATGAGTTTATACACATTCGTGCCGGATTGTAACTTTGTCATGCATTAAAGGATTTTACTATCACATCAAGACCCACGTCCCTACCTTCATGGTCAAGGTCAAACTTATAGTTTGAAGGTGATCATTCTCTAAAGAAGAGTTTTAAGATGCACATTCGTGTCTGGACTGTAACTTTGTCATGCATTGAAGAGTTTTGAAATAAGTAGGAATAAATATTTACCACATCCCCAAGGTGGTAAGTTTGCTATAAATAGCACTTCATTTCACAAGAACAATATTAAGCAATTGGCTACTTACATTCTCTTTTCTTTTCATAATACCTTTCCGAAATGCTTAAGAAACGTTTTCGGGAGCATTCGTCACTTTTGCTTGACAGCTGTTGTTCATTGGATAACGGTGAAGTTTCTATAATCTATATACACAGCTCCTTTGAATTTAATATGTAAAAGTTTTCGCTGTAGTACTATATATACTACATTGAAATGGCCGTGTATACATTGGTATTGCCGACTAGATGCGAGGGCTGCATCAGCTTATTACCGATTATAACGGGCAACTTAACATGTCAAAATGTATATATTTTACAACTATATACTTACACTCCATATCCAAATATCTCTGTTTAGCTTCATAATTTCCAACACTGCATTTATACCAACCCCGTGCCATGCTATCTGCACCTATAGTAATCAACGAGAATGAAGAGGCTTTAAATTTCCGCTCTCGTACAATTCCAGGACTTGGGCCAATTTGTGTTCCATTTACCATTAACGTTTGCCAAGAATTCCCAAATTTTCGACTCCAAGTCCATGTGGCTAGTGGTAGATCAGTATAATAACACGTGATAATAGTATCACCTCTACAATCACCAGCCACAGGAACATCTAGCCATACCCTGGGATCAGCTGAAATATTTAAACCAAAAAATCATTCAAAGTTTTCAGGAAGACTGCTATTAAGTGATATATTTGCTGGAAGGTCTTAACGTAAGTTCACATTTCTTTTTAAATTATTTGATAACGAAACCACGATGCTAAAATGTTGAAGGTACGATGATGAAAAGTAAGATGGGTGATAGCAGTGAAGGGGTTTGAAGTAAACGAACTTAACCACACGGCCACGGACGCCTTGTTTCATTACATAAATGCTAGTAAAATCAGTTGAAGGACCATTTGGCCACGGGCGCATTGTTTCTTTAGATAAATGCTTGTAAAATTCGTTCAAGGGAATGTTCAGAATATTCAATATACACTGTAGTCTGTTTTGTTTGTTGTTGTTCCTTGGTTTGTTTTTCTTTGTCTTATTCTTTGTTCTGTGTTTTGCAAATTTTGTTCACTTTGTCTTTAATAGATGATTTGGATTTGTTGTTGTACAGCATGTATGCTTTTGTGGTCTCTTTTATAATGTGATAGGTTTTGTAACTAAACACATTGTTCAGCTCTTTTGACAACTCAATATTTCGCCAGTCTTTACCAATCATGGCGATAGTGTTTGGTGTGTCCGACGGTATTTTATGCTGTACTAAATAGAAACTTTGTACAGATAAGATTTCTCACACGATTAAATGATAATGTACGATAATAACGATTACGACACATACCTAAAGAATGCGAACGGAGGATTAATTTAAAAATCTTCATACTTTGGTAACATGTTGTAATTTCCAAAGAATAACTTTTTGGCCAAAAATTTGAAGCATCGTTTGCTGTTGTTGCTGTCCGGCAATTCCTACAGTGATTGAGTATTTTGTATGGTAGTCAACAAACTTCTTTGTTTACGTTTTAAGCTGCTTTTATGACAATAATTCCTTATACATTCAGCGCTCTTTTTTTCAGATAATAGCGTATAATATGCTTCCGAACAATTATTTACACGTTATAATACTCATTTTCGCTTTATCTTAAGGACAAATATATTCGTTTCTGAGGCATAATGTGCCTTTAAGACATAATTGTATTTAGTGATATTTTAAAAGACTAAAACACTTACACTTAAACGACCTGATAAATAAAAGCATATAGTCGCAAAATAAAACAAGAAAGGAAAAATACATGTCACAATGCTAAAACTAGATTTATATTTAAATTTAAGCTACTTTTTTCTTACCTGTAACAACAGAAATAGCAGCTGCAGCTGATATAATGAGCAAAGTAAAATCTCTAAGTAGGCCCGCTGAACACATTATCAGACTGTCAATATATTATCTTATTATATTGTTATTGCTTGCAATATATTATCTGCTTAATTCGAATAAAACACTTTTCTATATGAAATGAGCACTTGCACTAAATGATAGTGATCTTATCTTTAACATGCGCGTGCGCCTAATTGACATTATCAAGCTGGCAGGGTCACAGAGAAAAGCAAATCGGCGATCGTTATCAGTTTTTACGCTAAGATGCCTGCGAAGTCCACCATTTTCCGTAGACAAGCTACTTATTTAAGACAATGGTGCAGAAGTAATATAGATTGAAATTATTTTAATTTGTTGTCAATTTAAAACTATTTAATCGGTATATTAATTAAGTTACCAAATATACTGATACATTGACAAATCGAGTTAGTTTATTATACAAATCAATAAATTTTCTACATGTGGAAATAATAAGTTTTGTAGCAGGTACAAGACATTATTCTATCCTGGTTATAACACAATGCATTGAAAAAGGAAAAAAGTTTAAAGCAAATCCACTTTTGTCATTACTATTTACAATCACATTATATATTATAACGTCCCAGAATATCCAGAAGATATGACATTTTTTGTTTATAACGTATAGCGTCAATTAAGACGCAGCCGTAAAAATGCAAATGTAATGAGTAAATACAATAATAAAAAATGGGTGAAACTATCTTACATGAATATTGAATAATATATTCAATACAACCATTAAAGCATCAAAATTTATATATATACAAAAATTATGTAAGTCAAATTCATTGGTATTATACGTGGTATAACAGCCTTGCAAAAACATCGGTACTGTATTTCGTCAAAGGTTCTTACTGACCGGGTCACGGTAATCAGTGGGCGGCGCGATTCCTTCACTGGCGTAATGTCAATTGTTTCGAAAGCTAGTAATAGAAAAGACCATAGATCCGGAACACGATTAAAATCTCAACAATCGAACTTTAAAACATATTTTAAAACGATGCCATAAAAATGTTACATTGTCTACCTCATCTCTAATACATGTATCTATTAGAGAATATAGCCATAACCTACGTCGTTGCAGAACAAAATACAATTCAAAATAAAATACCGCACTGACACACATAACCCTATCGCCATGATTTGTAAAGACTGGTGAAATACTGAGTTGTCAAAAAAGCTGAACAATGTGTTTAGTTACAAAACATGTCATATTATAATTGAGACACCAAAAATGCCTCAATGCTGTACAAAAACAAATCCAAATCATTTCTTAAAGACAAAGTGAATTACAAAACAACAACAGTTTGCAAAAACAAAGAACAAGACAAAGAAAAACTAACCAAGAAACAACAACAAACAAAACATACAGTCTGTATGGAATATTCTGAATACTCCCCTTGAACGTATTTTACTAGCATTTATTTTATGAAACAAGGCGTCCGTTTCAAAGAATTTTACAAGCATTTATTGTGGTTAAGGACGATGATTTCAAACACATTCACTGCTATCACCCTATCGTACTTTCGACTTTTTACCATCGTAATATCATGGTTTCGTTATTTCGACTTTCCACATTATAATTTCGTGTTTACGTTGTTTCGAGATATGTGTGGGTTGCGATGGCTCCAACGGGACATAGTAACGAATGCATATCATCTTGGCGTTGTTTCAATTATCGTTCGTTCCAAAAGTATGCGTTTCATTTAGTTAAAATTATGTAATCTCTTGATGATTTAAATAAACATTGCGTGTATTTATTATAGGTACAGCTATAAAGATATGTTGTAATAAATAGTGACTTTGTACAGATAAGATTGTCTCACACGATATTTTCGTGCATTTACTAAACGTATCAGATTTCTATATAAAGTTTCAAAAGGCATTTCAAATCACTTGAGGTAATTGCATTGCTTCTTTCACACGTTTATTTTTAGTCTGAATTGATTAGTGATAGCGAAAACGCAGGACGGCCACGTGGCAGCGATCGTTGTGGTTCTGTTCTTTTCATGTGTATTTAGACAAGAAGTTTTCTTTACTTAAGCGTGAATTAAGAGACGATTTATAAGTGCCCGATGGCAAGCAGTTCACAAAATTGAGAGAAAGTTCTTTTGCTAGGGATTTCAAGTGGCCAAGTAACCGGAAACAGTTTGGATTTAACTGGGGACTAATTGAACAGTTATAGTTGGGTTCAAGTTTTATTCAGAACGACGAACAATGTAGAAATATCATTTAGATAAAGTTGTTATAATCGTTTAAAACTTGACTGTGAGAATGAGAATGAAACTAATGGTAGTTCGCTTACAAAAAACTGTGTTTAAAGGACATTATTTTACTAATATCACAAAATAAGAATTTAATATAAAATGACGTTTTGTCATAGCAAACATCAG